CAAAAAGATTCATTATGTTTCATCTTTTTCTTATTTATTTATGCTAATGGGAGAAAATATTCATTAAATCTCAAGATTTATATTCCACAATATCCATTTTAAATAGTAATTAAAATAATATTCGCTCCTACTTAAATAATAATTAAGAAATATCGTTCAATTTATTATCATCGTATTTATTGAGGCCATCATATTGTGATAACAGTGGAAATTTAATGGTAGAAAGTTGTTAGCTATAGTCTGACAATTTTTTCACAATCCACTCGGGTACCAAATACTACTCTTTTCTAACAAATCTTCATTGTCTAATTACCGTGTCATTATAATCTTTCAAAAGTTGCAATATTACCGTTTTTGTGACTTTTGAATAAGGGAGGAATACATGAATGAATCGAAATTACATCTAAATATGGTGATTAAGAAATGCGTGAAAAAAAATTAATAGTTATTACCTATACTAAAAACGTGTACATTCCTTTTTTTTTTTTTTTGGTGATGGATGGCTTCAAGCATATGAGTGATGACAAAATATACTTAAAAAAAAAATCGTGTGTTGGTTTGGATGGATAGTTTTCAATCTTAGAAGTAGTTTAAGTCAAGTTGGTAGTGTAATCATATTGTAAGAGGTGTAAGAGAATGTCGGTAGTTATTATCTATACCAACAAGTTTATTTCTTTTTGGTGGCTTAATTATAGGACTTTTTGAAAACTTTTATAGCAACCGTGTGAGGATGAAGCATGTTAAAAGGTTTAATATAAAGTGTAACAGCCCAAGTCCATCGCTAGGAGAAATTGTCTTTCTTGAGCTTTCTCTCAAGGTTTTTAAAACGTTGATAGGGAGAGGTTTCCACATCTTTATAAAGAACATTTCGTTCCCCTCTCCAACCGATGTGGGATCTCACATATACAGTTAATCGTCACTCTTAAAAGTATTTCAAGACAACTAGATAACGTGCCTATGTCACAGGGGATGCGTGAGAATGTCAAGGTTACCAAGTTTCAAATCCGATTTCGAATCCTAATCTAAATCCTACGCACAAGAAACATTATATTTATTATTAAAAAAATCTTTTATATCACGAAATTTGTGGATCCCACCAACTACGTATTATATAGATAATAAGTTATTTTTATTGCAAAAATGAAACGATAAAAATAATTATTCAAATTATCGATTCATCTACTAATCAAAGTCAAATTCTAATTAAACATGTTATTGAAATGAATAAATAGTATTTAATTAATTTATTTAACTTTAATTGACATTTACATCAATAAATTAGACTTTTATCATGTTGTGAAATCTGTCTATGAAATATAGACGTCAATTAAATAGCTTAAATTTATTTTTATATAATAATTTATGAATCGAGATAATTAAATAATAAGCATTTAATTCACAAAAGAAAATAAATGTTTGAATCCAACCACTAATATTAGAAGAGAATAATAAAATTCAAATATCAAATTCTTTACATAAATTAATGTCAAAGATTGCACAGTAAATGGAAATATGTAGACCCATATATGCATTTATTAAAATATTAACTTATCCATCTAAATTATTTTATTTTTCCCCCTTTTTATATATATAAATAGTAAAATTAATAATTAAGAGACTCGTCTAAAAAAAATATATCTATCAACTTTATTTAAAATTTCTATTAATATTTTAAAAAATATTTTTATAATTAATACTATTTCGAAAGTATTCTAAAAGGTCGAAATAAATGGTTTCCGTTCCTATTATTAACAATAAGATTTTTTTTTAATAAAGATAAAAAATGTTCATGGATATATTTCTTTTAGTATATATATATATTTTAAAGGTTATTAATAATTTTTTTAAAAAATTAAAGATATTTTTGAAATATTATTAAAAATTTAAATTATTAATATGATCAGCTAAAATAACTTTAATCCATTTTTATTATTGTGACTTAAAAGATTATAATTTATCTAAGAATTAATTTGGTTTTATAAAAAAAAAAATGGTTGAATTAAAAATATTTTAATATTTGTTCTACTGTCTCTAATTGTTTATAAAGTGAGAAATAAAAAAATAAAAATAATTGTCAAAAGATTGTGTTCTAATATATATATATATATATGAATAAATTTTATTTTTAATTAAAAAAAAAAAACCTAAAATATTATGTTTCTTTTGTTTATTTTATTTTACATTGGCTCCAGCCCATATGATTCGGGCACTATATAATAAAAAATAATGACGATTATGATATAATAAAATGCATATCAGACCATATACTAAAAATTAATTAATCTAATAATTGCATTAATGTAAGATTCTCTTTAACAAAACCCATGGTCTTGGAATTCTGAAAATCAAACCTTTATTTAAAAATTTGAGTTAAATATTTTATTTATTTAATTTTTAATTTCCATAAATTACTGACAAAAATTTAATTAGATGCTTCCAAAGAGCTTAGTTTAAAAGAAAATTAGAAACCCTCTCCTCAAAATCTGCATTTTCAAAGCCCTAATTCCACATTTTCATGTACCTAATACTATATATTATTATTTTTTAACTTATAAATATCATTATTACTAAAATTAGTTACTAATTTGACCTTAATTTTTTATCCAAATGGGTAAAATAATAATAATAATAATAATAGTAATAGTTTTTATATTGAAAAAGATTTAATGTGAATAATTATTTATAAGAAAATAATTAAATTTGAGTGTTTGAAAGTATATGAAGTATAATAGAATAAATTCCGAAATATATTTATGATATTTATGATTAAAATTTAAAATAAATTGGTTTGGTTTCTATATTATCGGTTAAATTAATAAAAATATCTCTAAGTTTTTGTAAAAAATACCTTTAAACTTTAAAAAAATTCTAAAAATACTCTTATTTACGGGTGTTTTTGAATATTTTTTAATAAAAAGTGTTACTATTTTGTTTAATACCCTTAAATTTTTAACCGTAAAAGTAATTTTTATTTTTAATTTTTTTTTAAAAGTGTTCGGGAAGTTTTTTAAAAATAATATTAACAATTATGAAGAAGGGTGTTTGTAATTTTTTTGATTTTTTTTTAATTTAATAGTATTATTGAAATTTTTAAAATTTAAAATTTAAGAGTATTTATATTAATTTAGTATATGTTTATGGAATAAAATTAATTTATGATTGAGAAAATAAATTTATAAAATGGAAAAATTAACAATAAAAAAAAATGGAACGAGTAGAAATTATAATATTTAACTTAAATATAGTTTTAATTTAATGAAATTGAAAGTATTAGGGTAAAATATTAAAAAAAAAATGTTTCGTTCTCCTCTTCCTTTGATATGGGATCTCACAATTCATGCTTTTGAAGGCCAACGTCTTCGCTGGTACACTGCTCGATGACTAACTCTTATATCAAATGGTCCAAGTCCATCGCTAGCAGATATTTTTGCTTTTGCCCGTCACATATTGCCGTTAACCTCACGGTTTTAAAACGCGTTTACTAGAAGAGGTTTTCACACCGTTATAAGTGATTCGTTTTTCTCTCCATCCGACGTCGAATCTCGCATTATATCTAAAAAAAATTGAAAATCACTTTATAGAAGTATGCATACGAATCTCCAAATATGAATGGTAGCGATTTAGTCTCTGTTATTTACTCTTACTTCAATTTCATATCTCGCATTTCAGTTTCGTCTTAGCATCTATTTGCATTTGACTCGTGTTTGGCTTCACCGCATTCTCAAGTCAGTTCATTTTCTCAACCTTCTGTTCGATCACCGTTGGTTTGTCATTTCGCACCATTGTACACTTACCGTAGAGTTTCACGAGCTGTTGGTCTCGATTGGACCAATCTAGTGGGGCTCGATTCAGCTAGACTAATTTCGTCACTCACTCCTACTTAATTCGATTTTAAGCATCGATTCTTCCTCATTTTAAGCTAAAGTAACTTGTAGAATGTTGATTTAAGTGGTTCATAAGAGTTGACTAGTAAAAAGAGGATTAAGAGCGAGACAACTTGTGTAATGTAATTTAGATCTAGAGTGAGGCAGGTTGTGTAATCATCCATGAATGGATTAAGCGCAATACCATTGTCATAGGCTAGATGACCTACAGTTCCAGGCTAGAGAAGTGGTCTATATTTTAAGACCCGGTCACAAACTGGATGGTCTATCTCTAACTCAGTTTTGAACGATTCTTACTTTTAAAATGATGAATACATGTATATAGTAACGATCTTAATCGGTCTAGTGCTAAAAAAGTCTAATCGTTACTTGTAATTGACGGTAACTATCTCTAAACTGAACCGAAATAATGAGATATGAGGTTGTTATTGTTTTTAATTTTAAAAGTTTGGGGAAGGGAATGAAATGTGACAATTTAATATGATTTAAATACAAAAGTATGATAGGAAATTGATAATGATGTGTATGATTATAGAGTAATTATATTGAGACATAAAATAAACATAATACAAACATGGCAGTGTTTGTATTGTATGTTCCAACTTTGGTCTCCTACAAATATCTAATTTGGGTAAATAATATAATTTGAAGAATAAATATTGTTTCTAATGCTGTCTGAAACCATAGGAAACACGAACCAAATTATTTATCCGTTTAATTAAATCCACAACAATTTTGCATAAACAAATCCCACTTTTGTCGTTGCCATTGATCTCGAGAAAGGACTTATAATTTATACCAAATTTTCTTTTAATTTAATTAATCTATTTAGCGTTTTTAAATCAGATATTATCCGTTTTGGGATTTCACTTTCGGGATAGGGAGAGTTTCCAATCGCTTATACAAAATGTTTCGTTCTTCTCTTCCACTAATATGGGTTTAGGGAGAGGTTTTCGAACCCTTGTAAAGAATGTTTTGTTCTCCTCTTCAACCGATGTGGGATCTCACAATCCACCCCCTTTTAGAGCCCAATGTCCTCGTTGATGCTCGTTCCCTTCTCCAATCGATGTAGGACCNCCCCCCCCCCCCCCCCCCTCGACGCCCCAATGTCCTTGCTGGTACACCGCCTCATGTTCATCTCCCTTTGAGGCTCAACCTCCTCACTGACACATTGCGTAGTGTCTGGCTCTGATATCATTTGTAACGGTTCAAACACACCACTGACAGATATTGTTCTCTTTGGACATCCCTTATGTGCTTCCCCTCAAGGTTTTAAAACGCATCTACTAGGGAGAGATTTTCACACCCTTATAAGGAATGTTCGTTCCTTTCTCTAATCGATGTAGGACCCCCCCCCCCCCTTCAGGGCCCAACGTTCTTGCTGGCACATTACCTCGTGTCCACCTCCCTTTGAGGCTCAACCTCCTCGCTAGCACATCGCTTGGTGTCTGGCTCTGATTACCATTTGTAACCGCTCAAATCCACCATTAGCAGACATTGTCCTCTTTGGACATCTCTTATGTGCTTCCCAAATTTCTACACCCTTATAAGGAATGTTTATTCCCCTCTTCAACCGATGTGGGATCTCAAATTACGGTAGGTTTGGACGGAGGATCTTCTTAATAGGAACTCGCTGTTATATTGTTGAAGGTAAGTGACTTTGTTATTGAAAATCTTTTGAAGTACCAAATAAAAGCATAACATACTTAGAAAGCTTTGATGTTTCAGCCATTTCTAACTCGATTTAATTTTGTAGGACCTTCATAGCATGCATGTGGTAGCGATCTCAGTCTTGGTCTAGTCATGTTTTGGAAGTCGGGTATTACTTTTCTTTTTACTTCGATATATGTATAAAAACATATCCAAGATTTGATTACATGTGTAAAACATTTCTAATTAAGATTAATAGTATAAGAGTTATTGTGTCACTCGAGTAAAGAAAGGGTACATGAATGCTCGATTGGAGCATCTTTTTTATTATCAACTCTTTATTGACGACTATTTTTCGAAATTCTCTTTGAAAAAAATATGCCAAAAACTTGTTTATGATTAGAGTTTAAGAAATGACACCGTAGTCTATAGAAGGGATTTTCAAAGTTCGAGATCATAGAGATAATGTTGGAAATTTTAGTAGGATTTTAGTAACAGTTCAAGCTCACGGCAATAAGATATTGTTCTCTTTGGACTTTCCCTATCCGATTTCCCTTCAAAGTTTTTAAAACGTGTCTGCTGAGATTTCCACTCTTATAAATAATTTTTTATTCTCCTCTTTAATCGATGTGGGATCTCACAATCCACCCCTTTCGGAGTCCAACGTCCTCACTAGAACTTATTCCCCTCTTCAATCGATGTGGATCTCACAATTTTAACTTGAAATATTATAATTTTGCGTTGAATATGCATAATTAAATCCTTTATTCATGGGGATTGATTAGCCATCGATCAATAGATTGATTAATTGAACGTTCTATTATTGCTTGTTTTCAATGCATATAATTACATGCTTAATGCTCTTAATCTTCTTCTCATGCATATAATTGCAACGTGATATAAAGGGGTGGTGATCTTGAATAAAAATTATGACCCAAGCATCACCTAATTATTCTAGTTCATCATTATCGATCGGCCTAATTTCCATTTAAAATTTGACGGATTTCTACTCTAAATATAGTTTTTATATATTTACGACAAATTAATGAAAATATTGTAACTTTCGAAAGAATATAGTCTTTTTAGACAATAAATAAATAAAAACATGGTACCAAATACAATAATGTTTTTCGTTAATTAAATAAGTGAAAATGGACAAGAAACCTTAAAAAAAAAAAAAAAAAAACTGAATGTGTCTATTTTTTTTTATAGTACAATAAATATGAGATGAATTTTTGACCTCGGAATACATGTTAATTAGAGAATTTTCTTAAAAACCCAATTTTGGATCAATCTTTTCTATGTATTTTATTTCGGAGATTAGGAGTGTTAGTGAGTCGAGTTGGGCTAGGTTGAGACGTTTTTTAGACCGAACCCAATTGTTTCAATTGTAAATTTTTCAACTCAAATAACCTTTATTAAATAATAAATTTGAGGTGTTTAGTTCAATCCAATCTAGTTTTAGGGGAGCCTATTAACCAACCTAATTTACACGGTTTTCATTTGTAACATCTCAAGCCTATTACTAGCTGATATTATCACTTTGGCCCATTACGTATTACCACAACTTCACGATTCTAAAACACGTTTGCTAGAAAAAGGTTTCTACACCAGGAATGTTTTGTTCCACTCTCCAATTGGTGTAGGATAATCCACACTCCCTTTGGAGGCCAGCATCCTCGTTGGCACACCGTTTGGAACCTGGCTCTGATACCATTTGTAACAGCCCAAGCCCACCAGTAACCGATATTGTCCGCTTTGGCCCGTTATATATCACCATCAGCCGCACGATTTTAAAACGCGTCTGTTAGAGAGAGGTTTCCACACCCTTTTAAGAAATGTTTCATTTTTCTCTCCAACCGAGGTGGGATCTCATAATCCACCCCCTAGGCCAGCGTCCTTAACACCACACCACTTGAAACCTGGCTCTGATACCATTTCTAACAACCCAAGCCCACCACTAGCAGATATTGTCCGTTTTGGCCCGTTACATATCATCATCATCCTCACGATTTTAAAACACGTATACTAGAAAGAGATTTACACACCCTTATAAGAAACGTTTCATCCCTCCAATCGATGTGGAATCTCACATCATTTATTTAAACTCAAACCCAATTCATATAAGCTGATCGAGTTTTCAAGTCATTAAATTTTTTAAATGCCTGAACGGGTTGAGCTAAAATGCTCGGCCTAAATCGAAATGGCTGATCCAAGTATAGCCATATATAGCTCATTATATATATGTGTGTGTGAGTGGTTCATAAAGAGGTGTGCCCACAAAATGGATGAAGATAAATAATTTAATTAGAAAAGTAGAGAAGGAATGGGGAGTGTTTGGATTATCCACAAATAAGTAATGTTCAAAGACAAACTTCAAAAGCCAAAGTTTACACCACAAACCTAAAGCTTACCCAAAGCTCATTTCATAAGTTTTTAAAGCTCCAAAATCACCTTTTCTTTTCATAAAAAGGTGAGAAAAAAAAAAGTTTTCATTTTTATTTCTCGATCACTCCCTTAAGCTAACTCGTTCTTACGAAATTTCTCTCTTTTTCATGTTCGATCAATATCCCATTTATTTTTTACAATAATGAAGTCGGTATCTTCATAATTGATTCGTATTTCACCCTATTTTATATCTAGAAAAAGTTTGATTTGAAAGGAGTTTGGGCATTTATGTTTCTTTAGGGCTGATGACTGATCGGAGTATAAAATTGATCGAGATTAGTTTTGGTACGCAAAAAGATAACTAAGGATTAGTCTGTCAAACTTGTTTTAGACTTACCATCGTTCTTTTAAAAGTTGTAGTATTACTCTCATCCTACTTTAATAGAATTTGAGACTTGAACACTTTTAGACTGTACTTGTCCAAAGCACAAAGAAAACAATATCTGCTAGCGGTGGGCTTGAATTATTACAAATGGTATCATAGACAGACACCGGGTGATGTGTCAGTGAGGAGGCTGAGCCCCGAAGGAGGGTGGACACCATGCGATGTGCCAGTAAGAAAGCTGGGCTTTGAAGGGGTGGATTGGGTGGTTCAACATCGATTGAAGAAGGGAACGAGTACCAACGAGCACACTGGGCCCCGAAGGGGAGTGGATTGTAAAATCTCACATCGGTTGGGGAGACATTTTAAAAGCATTGAGGGTAAGTCCGAAAGGGAAAGCCTAAAGAGAACATCTGGTAGCAGTAGACTTGAGCTGTTACATCCAATTTTCATCTAATATTGTAATGACCCATGCCCAAAATTCGAATTCTACACTCGATGGCCCCGACATACCCCTGCGACATAGTCAGGTTATTTACCCTTCACTTCAAAGAGTGAACACTATTCACACAAACCAACACGAATCCTTCCAGCATGCTTTGTCCTCACTCGTATATATTCTTTTAAATTTTTCTTAGTCATCCTATTCTAAGGATCGCTCTTATATGGATGTGATCTCAGGTGATTTTTGTACGAATTTTACTTTTATCTTTCACGATAATTTTGAGACATATATGAAACATCAACTAATATTGCAACAAATTTGGCAAGAACATTGGTGACAACATAAAATTAATTTAATTTTCTCTAAATATAATTTGTTCTACCCTTTTATTTTATTTTATTTTTCTATTATGGAGAAAAAAACAAACAATTACCTTTATTTCTATTTATATAGTGAAATCAAAGAACAAGTTTGAGAAAATCACGAGTCATGAAATTAGTAATATTTTCCTTGTGCGTTTTGAAGTTCTATTTTTCGTTATTTAGCAGAAAAAAGACAAAGCATAGCATTCAATCATAAGCATATGTTTGTGGGTTTTGGTCCTTGTCTTGTCGTGTCCATCCAATTAAGATAATAATGCGATCTTCAAAATTCGTATCTTTCGTCACATCTTTACGTTAATTAATTTCTTTATCGGTTTGACAAGTTTTATGAGAAATGTCTCGCTTTGATTTGAATGCAATCAATTAACTAAACTCGGGATGAATCAATTCATCAATCATTATTAGTCGTTGAGAGCACTCGTCTTGAGATGGGCTTACTGTTTGGATACTTTCAGTAATTATCCACTCCGCACCTGATGAGACTTGGGAGTAGAACAAAAGACAGGGGACTCAAGTTAAAAGACTCTAACAGCCCCCAAGTCCACCGCTAATAAATATTGTTCATTTTGGTATGTTGCAAATCGTCGTCAGTCTCACGGTTTTAAAATGTGTCTACTAAGGAGAGGTTTCCACACCCTTACATAAAATGTTTTGTTCCCCTCTCCAACTGATGTGGATCTCACGATCTACCCCCTTAGGATCCAACGTTCTCGTTGGCACACTGCTTAGTATCTAGTTCTGATACCAATTTTATAACGCGTCTACTAAGGAGAAGTTTCTCAACACTTATAAGGAATGTCTCGTTGCCCTCTCCAACTGATGTGGGATCTCACAAAGACATTTATCCAAGAGACAAATGTGACCAAAGGATCGAATTACTAATGAAATAGTAGTAACATTAAAGTTAGTTGGGTTTGGTTGGGTAGGAAAACTCTACTCGACCAATCCAAAATTTCGGGTTAGTTGGGTTGATGACCTGAGCAACTTGAATAGAGTTCACAACTACCAACCCAACCCGTCAAGTTCAGTTAGGTTGTCGGGTTGTTCTTTTTAAAAAAAAAAAAATTATATTTTTCCACAATACAGGTTAATAACTAAAATCTCATAAAATTCAAATATCAAATATTTACAAACATTAAATATTCTTAATCTTTTTTATGAATATAGTTGAATTGGGTTGGATTGTAATCCTATCCTCACGTACCCAACCAAAAAAATGTCAACCAGCAAACTGAAATGTTCGATTTTCCAAAAATTCAACCAAACACAAACCAGAAGAATCTAACTCAATCCAACTTTTATGGATCAGGTTGAGTAGCACTAGTCGGTCAGATTATCAGTTCATATGAACACTCCAAAATCACTTTGTAACATGCTTCGAATAATTTAAAATCAATTTTGATCGTCTAAAAGTATAAAATTAAATATTAAATTTATTTTGAATGATGAATTACTTGTTCCAAAGTATTTTGAACACGTCCAGATTAAGTTTAACCATTTTAAAATTTCTTCGAGATAAACCCTAGAACGGGAAAACATTAAACGTTTAGGGTTCGGAATTATAGATAACTTATTGGTTAAAGTTTGGGGAATGAATGAATGAATTATAAAGGTAATAAAATTAAACATTGCGTGTAAGGAATGGGTATTATTGAAAAGACAATATGGTGGAAAAGCATATAAGAAAAATAAATCAATTTGAAATTAAAAAATAAAATAAAAAATAAAAAAGGCTAAATTTAAAAGGCAAGTTCGTACCCAAAATGACAAAAAACTTTAAAGAGAAGGCTCCCTAAAACTAAAACACCAACACAAATGACCTTACTTTCAGCAGTACACCAACAGCCTTATGCCTCTCTCTATAAAGGTGATATGAAAATTTAGAGAAGATACCGAGCCCGATCGAGTTTAGCTTAATAGGATAAGACTCGTTATATATCGTCATAAGTCTCATGATCTTAAAACACGTTTTTCCGAGTTACTTTATGCCCCTCTCTATAAAGGTAGATATGAAAATTTAGAGAAGACATCAAGCCTGATCGAGTTTAGTTTAATGGGATAAGACCCGTTGCGTATCGTCGTTAGCCTCACGATTTTAAAACACGTCTTTCTGAGTTACTTTATACCCCTCTCTATAAAGGTAGATATGAAAATTTAGAGAAGATATCGAGCCTAATTGAGTTTAGGTTAGTGGGATAAGACCCGTGCGTATCGTCGTCAATCTCACGGTTTTAAAACACATCTTTCAGAGTAACTTTATGCCCCTCTCTATAAAGGTAGATATGAAAATTTAGAGAAGATATCAAGCCTGGTTGAGTTTAGCTTAATGGGATAAGACCCGTTGTGTATCGTCGTTAGTCTCACGGTCTTAAAACTCGTCTTTCGGAGTTACCTTATGACCCTCTCTATAAAGGTAGATATGAAACTTTAGAGAAGATATTGAGCCGGATCAAGTTTAGCTTAATGGGATAAGGACCATTATATATCGTCGTCAATCTCACAGTTTTAAAATACATCTTTCAGAGTTACCTTATGCCCCTCTCTATAAAGGTAGATATGAAACTTTAGAGAAGATATTGAGCCTGATCGAGTTTAACTTAATGAGATAAGACTCGTTGTGTATCGTCGTCAGTCTCACAATCTTAAAACACGTCTTTCAGAGTTACCTTATGCCCCTCTCTATAAAGGTAGATATGAAAATTTAGAGAAGATATCGAGCCTAATCGAGTTTAGCTTAATGGGATAAGACTCATTGCGTATCGTCGTCAGTCTCACGGTCTTAAAACACGTCTTTTAGAGTTATCTTATGCCCTTCTCTATAAAGGTAGGTATGAAAGTTTAGAGAAGATATTGAGCCCGATCGAATTTAACTTAATGGGATAAGGACAATTATATATCGTCGTCAATCTCACGGTTTTAAAACACGTCTTTCAGAGTTACCTTATGCCTCTCTATAAGGTACATATGAAAATTTAGAGAAGATATCGAGCTCGATCGAGTTTAGCTTAATGGAACAAGACATCGATTGTAATCGTCAAGTCCACCACTAGCAGATATTGTCTATCCGCTTTGGCCAGTTACGTTTTGTCGTTAGTTTCACAGTTCAAGTCCATTGCTAGCAAATATTGTTTGTCCGCTTTGGCCCATTACATACCGTCATTAGCTTTACGGGTATAAAATGCGTCTTTCAGAACTACATATTGGAACCGAGACTTATCTAGATACCGTTCTCTCTAAGCTTCCTCTCAAGGTTTTTAGGTTTCCCTAAACCTACACAAAGAATGTTTCGTTCCCTTCTCTAACCGATAATTATCTTAAATGTTGATAATTCAATCTCCCGAGCATTCATTGGATTCAAAAAGAAAAAAAATGTACTTTACAACTATAGTAGAAGATTTAATTTGTTGTTATGTTAACCGATCTAAACTCAGCTCATATCATTTATTGTTCAAAGCTAAGCATACTTAACTTTGTAGTTCTTACAATAGAGCTACTAAAAACTGAAAATACACCGTGTTTGTATAAGTAATAACCTTCAGTTCTTCTTAACTATCATATTCTCATGATCACTCTCATTCAGATATGATCTCCGTTCATTCATGTACCTCTTATTTACTTGAGCGTCGCAAGCCCACCAGCTTCCACTACGGTTTATTCTCAAACCACATTCTACTAGGAGAGGTCCCGCTCTGATACTATATGCAATGTCCCATGCACGAAGTGTCAAATCTAAATTCCAAATTCTGTTCTGAATCTTAAACATGAAACGTTACAAACCTGACTGCTTTTACCGTTTAGAAATTGTTTGCAAATTCGTTCCTTTTCTTTCTTTCTTTTCCAAATTGTGTGCTTTCTCATAAGATCAAACATCAAATTAAAATAAAATAAAATAAAAACAAGAGAGAGAGAATAGAAAGAAAAAGAGTAAGGTAAAAAACCAAAAGAGGAACCAACTCCTATCTTATTTACCCTTTTCTCTTTTTTTTCATCTTTTGCCTCACTTTCTCACCTAGTACCCTACACCCCCACGTCCAATAAAGAATCAACCTCTCTTTCTCTCTCCTCCCCTCTCCTTCTCTCTCCTCCATTGCTCTCCTCAAGTGTCATTTTCTCAAATATACTTCACACAAGAAACAACCATTCATCACTTCATATCTATTCTCATTTCTTCTCTCTCTCTCTCTCTTCTTTCTCTCTCTAAACTTCATCAAAATCCCAAAGAAAAGAGGAAAAAGAAGAAGAACCCATAAATCTCCTCTCAATTCCCTTCAAAACCCATATTCACACTTCTCCAACAAATCTCTAAATCTCGAGAAAAATACGAATCAAGAACGACGACGAAGAAGAGAAGGAGAAGAAGCAAGACCAAAACTTTATGCGTATGGAGCTATTCCCAGCACAGCCAGATTTATCCCTCCAAATTAGCCCTCCAAATACCAATAAACCTTCTTCTTCTTGGATAACAACACCTCAAGAAGAAGTTGATTTGAGGTTTTGGAATAATCTTAGTTTGGAGTCCACTAAATCCACTCCCAAACACCCCCCTCCACCTTCGCCTCCTAATCATCATCTTCATCATCATCATATATCCGCTCCCCTTTTCGAAACCCTAAACAAAACCAGACCCCGACCCGCCATTTTCCACCACGATACGACGTCGCTGCTCAGCCCGTCACCACCACCGCCTCCCCCTCTCCCGTTTCCGGGATTCTTGCAACCCATTAGAGGAATTCCGGTGTACCATCAAACAATTAACCCCTCCGGCATCGGTGTCGATGGTGGCCGAGGCATTACTCCCTCTACCGTCGACCACCGCCAGATTATGATGCGGTCGAGGTTCTTGTCTAGGTTTCCGGCCAAACGAAGCATGAGAGCCCCTCGGATGAGATGGACATCAACTCTTCATGCTCGCTTTGTTCATGCTGTCGAACTTCTCGGCGGCCACGAAAGTACGACGACCCTCTAATTTCTTCCCCTTTTGTTCAAATTCGAAGTTGATGGGTTACGATAAATTTAATCATTTATTCATATTCTCGACACAATCAGGAGCTACACCGAAGTCGGTTCTCGAGCTTATGGATGTCAAAGATCTAACCTTAGCCCATGTCAAATCTCATTTACAGGTACATAACTCATAATCTTCCAAAAAAAATTGCTCAAAAACACAATTTAGGGTTAAGTTTTGGTAAGAAAATAAGAATCCCAATGGTTTTGCATTGTTGTTACATCCTTAATTAATACAGACAGAAATCAAGGTTGGTTTTTTTAAGAACATGTTTGGTTTTTTGTTTTTTGTTTTTTTTTTTCAAATTCCAATGTTTTTTTTTTTTTCCCCTTTAAAAATGCTCTGCAAAATGGCTCAAATTCTTAGCTTTTATTTTTCTTCTAGATCTGATGGTTCTGCTTCTGCTAGCTAACAAACAGCTTTTTGCTTGGGAGAATGAGCCATACCAACTATGAGTAAAATAAAATAAAATAAAATTATAAATTTTAATTTTTAATTTATTTTTTTATTATTATTATTAATTCAGCTGAACACATGCACACAAGACAAGGTAGCTCAGAGAAGACTGTTCTCTTCGATGAATAAATGAGAGCAGCTGTTCAAATTTAATGTAAATTAAATATTTTTTAAATCATTAAAATCTTCAAACATTTGAGATAATTGTCTGTGTTTTGTGAACAAAACATAGATTTGTTCTTGGTTTCTCCGTCTTTTTTTTTTTTTTTTTGGAATTTTTGTTTAAATTATCCAATAAAAACTCATAATTTGATTAAATATATATATATATATATATATATATATATATATATTTATCTATTGCAGATGTACAGAACAGTGAAGACTACAGACAGAGCTGCAGCTTCTTCAGGTGTGTTTTTTTTTAAAAAAAATTATATTTTTTTTCTTTTTAAATCGTTTTTTTTTTAGTTTTTTTATTGAATATTTTTATAGGCCAATCAGATTTATATGAAAATGCTTCATCTGGGGACACAAGCAATATTGAAGATATAATATTTGATATTCAAAAGCCAGCCATGGGAAGGCAAAATGAGAGCTTAGTTCATCAAACAACAAGGCAAGACAAGGATTATCATGCCCTTTGGAGCAATTCTTCAAGGTTATAATTCAATTCTTGTGCCTTTTTTTTCATTTTCTCGACACGATCATGAGAAGATTTGAACCTAAGAAATACGAAAGACGTTGAATGATTCTTTATAAGGGTGTAAAAACCTCTTCTTAACAAACGCGTTTTAAGAACTTTGAGTGGAAGTCCGAAAGAGATAACCTAAAGAGGACAATATCCGCTAGCGGTAAACTTGGGTTGTTACATAATCTATCTGATCACTTAAGTTTAATGGGTTACTGTAAACTTAGTTACGGTAATCCATTAAACTTAGGAAGTAAGAAAGACGTTAAATCATAATTTGTGAGGTCCCACACCTGTTGGGGAGAAGAACGAAACATTCTTTATAAGAGTGTGGAAATCTCCTCCCCTAGCAAACATGTTTTAAAAACCTTGAAGGAAATGCAAAGGGGATAGTCCAAAGAGGACAATATCTAAACTTGGGCTGCTACATAATCTTTCTGATATCTTACGCTTAATGGGTTACGGTAAACTTAGTTATGTTAAAATGATTTTAAATGGATTGGAGAGAAGAATGAAACATTTTTTTATAAGAGTGTGGAAACTTCTCCCTAGCATAAAGAGGACAATATTTGTTAGTGGTGAGCTACACAATCTATCTGAAATCTTAAGCTTAATGGGTTACGGTAAACTTAGTTAGGTCAAAATTACTTTAAACGGGTTCGAACAAGAACGGATCGAACCAGCTCAAGAACTTAAATCGACCAATAATGATGAGGCAATTATGAACATAGTCTCTTAAAATGGATGAAAAGGATGTAAAAAGAAGGCACACGAACTCCCTAATTCCAAGAGAGAGGGGGAGAAATCTGTGTGTTTTGGATTTTGTGGGGCTCAAATATGGAGACTTTATTCAAATGGGACCTTTAGTTAGAAACTTAGTGTCAAAGCTAAGCCCTTTTGATGGACCCATTAGTGGAAATTTTGATGCCTAAAAACAAAGCTTTTTTTTCTTTGTTCTTTTGAATATGGAGTTTGCAAATTCCTCGTAGTTTGTGGGTTTAGTAATGGGATATCACATGGTGTTGGTGTAGCTTTTTTTATCAATCAAAAGCACCAAATGCAAAGGGAAAAAAGATTTGTAGCTTTCTTTTTCCTTCACTTTTCTTGCTTTGCATGCTCTAGTTTGAAAAATATGCTCCCTTTCTTGCTTTGTTTATGTTAATAGGGAAGCTTGGTTGCATGGTTTGCCAAACGATTCTTCTCGGGACCTTTCTTCGTCCCTCGAGGTACTCTGTTTTATCTCTCTCCCATCTTTTGATATGATATATTGTAGGAGATAAAGATTTGATCTTGTGTTATTGAAGAATCTGAAGTAAAACTCTAATCTTATTCGATATTATCTTAACCTGAGTTATTACGTTATCGAAGAATCTGAAGTAGAACCCTGATCTTATTTGATATTATTCTTAGTCTGAGTTATTACGTTATTGAAGAATCTGAAGTAGAACCCTAACCTTATTTGATATTATTCTTAGCCCGAGTTATTACGTTATTGAAGAATCTGGAGTAGAACCCTGATCTTATTTGATATCATTCTTAGCTCGAGTTCTTATGTTTTTGAAGAATATGAAGTAGAACCCTGATCTTATTCGATGTTATTCTTAGCCAGAGTTATTACGTTATTAAAGAATCTGAAGTAGAAACTTGATCTTATTCGATATTATTCTTAGTTCGAGTCATTACGTTATTAAAGAATCTGAAGTAGAACCCTGATCTTATTCGATATTATTCTTAGTTCGAGTCATTAAGTTATTAAAGAATCTGAAGTAGAACCCAGATCTTATTCGATATTGTACTTAGTTCGAGTCATTACGTTATTGAAGAATCTGACGAAGAACCCTGATCTTATTTGATGTTATTCTTAACCCGAGTTATTACGTTATTGAAGAATTTGACATAGAACCCTGATCTTATTTCATATTATTCTTAGCCCGAGTGATTACGTTATTGAAGAATCTGACGTAGAACCCTGATCTTATTTGATATTATTCTTAGCCCGAGTTATTACGTTATTGAAGAATTTGACATAGAACTCTAATCTTATTCGATATTATTCTTAACCCAAGTTATTATGTTATTGAAGAATCTTGAGTAGAATACTGATCTTATTCGATGTTATTTTTAGCCCGAGTTATTACGTTATTGAAGAATCTGAAGTCGAACACTAATCTTATTTGATAGTATTCTTAGCTCGAGTTATGTTGTTTGAAATGAAGTTACAAAGCCTGCTTGGATTGACTTTCTATGTATTTGAAGCATAATCAAAAAATTTTTTTTATTGATTTACAGAATGATACGGATCCGAAGTGCTCAAACAACGAGAGACTATCGGAAATAAGCTCATCTACCGATGATTGTGGAGGGACAAACTCTCATAAGCCAAATTTAGAATTCACATTAGGAAGGTCAATTTGATGAACACAAACAAAGAGATTGGTTAGTTTTCTACTCATTTTGAGATATGATTATATCTTAGAACAGAAATTGAAGTGTAAGAAAAGAAAGCTAAAGAAAAGCAGCTCCTAATTTCTATCCACCTTTGACCTCCCAATTCAAAATATATAAATCTAATTCATTTTTGTTTGTTTTCGCACTCATCTGAACTACTCGGGTCGGGATTATTTTTAAGCTCACCCCTAGCAGATATTGTCTGTTTTACCCCGTTACATATTGCTGTCAGCCTCATAGTTTTAGAATGTGTTTGTTAGGGAAAGGTTTTCACACTCTAACAAAAAAATGTTTCGTTCTCCTTACTAATTGATGTGAGATTTCACTCAAACACTTAAAAAAGTTATTTGAAACGGGCTCGTGCTCGTGTTTTGAGGGACAAAATTGTAAATTTGGTAGGCCACATGGATTAGATAAAGGAAAAAGTAGAGGGTAGAGAGAATATAAACAAAAAGATTGAAAAAGAAAGTGAATTAGAAGAAAAGATAGCAAAATGACAAAAGTTGGGGTAGCAAAAGGAGAATTTGGAGTTGCTTTTAATACCCATTTTGCAGATTTTTATATCCATTAATCTAATTTTTCAAAAGAAAGCTTTCAAATTAAATCCCAATTAGAATCAATTNTTTTTTTTTTTTTTTTTTTTTTTTGTTCTTTATTAGCTTTATCACTTTGGAAATGGTGCTTCCCACCCATGCATGAATTTCTTGTTTTTTTTTTAAAAAAAAAAAAATTATAAAAAATTGAGCATGATTGATGTTCTTATGAGTTTAAGATGTTTTTTTTTTTTTTTATTAAAAAAAAAAACATGTTTCTCGGTTTGCTCTAACCCTTCAAAAAAAAAATCAAAGAAAAAAAGTTTTGAAAGATGGAGTGCGGCCTGTAGAGCACATGTAAGGCACAGTCGGGTTGATCACGCAGCGGATCTCTATCTCTCTCTAGATATCTAAAGATGGAGAGAGATGTGAAAGTAATAGCCTTTCAATTTGCCTCTGACCATCAAATGAAATGTGAATAACCCGTCCTCCTCTCTTTGAAACAAGGGACGCTTCTGGTTCTGTTCTAAGGATTCCCGAGGAGAAAAATAGAGATGTCTCCTACGTTACCCGTAATATGTGGAAGTATCGACGTAATTTCATAGAGTCATTCGGTCTGAATGCTACATGAAGAACATAAGCCAGATGAAGGTAAGTCCGCCTATCAGATATTATCTTTTTTGGCTTTTTCTTTTGAGTTTTCCTCCAATATTTTTAAAATGATCCGTTAGGGAGAGGATTCACGCCATTATAATAATATTAGTTTTTTACCAAAAAAAAAAAAAAAAAACTGTTTTATTTTTAAAATCATTATAATTCTAATCTCAGTCAGCTAGCTCATCTCACCAACATTTTTCTTTATTAAATATATATATATATATATATGGTTCGAGGGCTGTTAAGAAAGACAATAAGAGCCGACCAAGGAGGAAAACGAAAGGCATTTCTGGTCTCCTAAGCCAGATGGTACTCGTGTGGAGGTGTGTCATGACGAAACAAGGGAATGAAAGCGTGACCGAGCCCTACGCCTAGCATATCGTTGAACGTGAGTTAGAAATCTAGCTTTTGAAGATAGTTGATCGCTCCAGTATTCTCTTGCATCCTCTGCGTACCTAACGTCTCCGACATTTTCTTGCATCCCTGCAACTTGGTTAGGTTACCCTGAGCGCTTTTCAGTATGTTTTGTCCACTCTTACATGTATCATAGAAATATTCTCAAGAGATCACCCATCATAGAATTGTTTCAAAGAAAGTCAGATTAACTCTGTAGTTTCTATGATTGAACCATCGAATAGGAAGGTGCGCCTTATTGGTATACGTATTAATTTTCAGTTCTTTTAAGTTTAAGGTGCACCTCATTCAGATGTGGTCTCGGTTCATTCATATATCTTTTCTTCACTCGAGTGTCTCACTTATCTTTTCTTCCCCAGGAAATCTAATATCCGTCATGAACTCTCTCACTAAAATCTCCATTCCAAGACCTGATGATCACAATTATTCGTGAGAAACACTCTACTCTTTATTGAGACCAAACCAGAGGAGATTACAAGACACTATGAAGAAACTACTACACTCTATTGTGTTCGAGATTTCTTGGGATGAAAATCTTGATAGGGTGGAGGGGTATTTACCGGAGAAACTAAACAATTTATTTCTAATATAACTAAATCATGTTCCCGAAATATATAGACAATGGGCACCACCCGGTGAACATGTCTAGGTACGAGCGTCTTTGCTACTCCATTAGTGACGAGTCTCGAGAGAAAAATGAATCATAAGGACTAATATTGTATTGGGAATTAAAACATAGATTTAATCGTCTAATTCTCCTCTAATCTTACCCGCTTGTGATGTCAACGTCAAAGTAAATGATAAAAGGCCATGTTTCAAGCTGTACACAAAAGTCAAATAGAGGATAATTCAATAAAATTACTTCACGCGCTATGGATTTGTATGGTTTCACCGACGCTGTAAGAAACAATTACCCAACCAATACATGAGAGCGTCGTTAACACGCGTCTAACTTAGAGAGTAACAAATTATGAGCTCTCTCTACGTTTTGATTTTGCTCATCAATTATTGAAATTTTAATAATGTATAAACTAAAAATATTCTTATGTTATATAGAAATTGTTGATATTTTATTTTTAAAATTGTGAGACGGGAATGAAAGATTCCTCGTAAGGGTATAGAAACTTCTCTAAAGCAGACGCGTTTTAAAATCGTGAGGCTAGCGATGATACGTAATAGACAAACCAAACAATATCTACGAGCAATGGATCTAGATTGTTACAAAAATACTTGTGCTTGCGTTGCGTAGGTGTTGGCGGGCATGATGTGCGAGCAAGGGTGAGAGGGGCATTGGTGCAGCACGGGGCTTGGCGTGCATGCACTCAAGGTCATGTAAGGCGCACGTGCACGACAACAAGCAGGGCACCTGGGCTAGATTGGCGAGCAGAACCAGCATTGGCACACGCACGAGGGCCAACATTGGCGCCCATGAGCATGCCTTGGACATAGGCCTTGCATGCACACGAACGTTCAGGTCATGCTCCCACCCATGCATCATTCTCATTAGCACCCAAACCACACTACCCCAACTCGTGACCTAAAACAAAAATTGAGATCTAAAATGTGCGACACCTTTTCTTCCCCAAGAACACCTTTGGAAGGTATAAAAACGGCAAGGACAATATTGTAATTTTTGAAAAAATGCACGGTTTTAAACAAATTAATTTTGATTTTTTTTTTCTATTTACACATTCAATACCCTAAATAAACTAGGGTACTTGTTGTTTTATTTGTCTTGCTACTGATCTCAGATGCTGAGCATCTGAATTGTCCTTATTGGTCCAAAAAAAAAAAAATGAACAAAAATGCTTATTTTCAACAAAAAGAAGGGTTTAAATAACTCATGGTACATGGTCATTCAATTACAATCAAGATGTCTCTTCATCCCTAGAACGATGTTCGGAATATGTTATAATTGTACTCTTGCAACAGCGGGATAGTGATTGTGCGGCATTTGTTCTAACCCAGCGAGCAAATTAGTCATGAAAAGTTCGAACTTCGCTCGAGGCTCGAATCATGTTTGAGAGAAATGTTTTGAAAAACGTGAGCGATGAAATACGTTGAAAACAATTTGAAAGAAAACAATGTTATAAGCTAAAAGCGCTTAGGTAACAACGACTTTAAAAGAATATAACTCGAGTAGGAAGAGACTGATTTTGGTGACCGATCATACCCCTTATATGAATAAATAATAACAACAATTTTCATTTTAAGGGTAAAAAACAGATATTTAAATTTATTCACTATATTTTTTTAATAAATCTCAAATGAGTTCATATATTTTTAATAAATTTCAAACATAATTTTTTAAATTATTTTTTTTATCAATGGATTAAATAATAATAATAATAATTTAAGCAAGAAAAGACTAATTATAAATATTTTAAAATTTTATCAAGGAAATATTAACCAAGATTCTTTTATAGAAAAGTCCACAGAAAAAAATAATAATAAATATTATAATTAAGATGGAATAAAATTCAAAATAGAGATACCTATTAGTTTCAATCTTATTTAAAAAATATTCCATAAACTACTAAAAAGTTTCGATAATAATTTAAAAAAAAATTAAAAATACTTTCGGTATGTTCAAAAATACCATTAATATTTTTAGATGAAAATCGTTAATACTTCATCAAAAAAATAAAAAACATCTTTTTAAACTGTTTAGTTTAAAAATGGCACGTTTTAAAAATAATATTAAAAAGGTCGGACGTAACAACAGTAAAAAAAAAAATTAACTTTTTTTCATAAAATTTAAGAGATTAAAAATTTATATATATTTTTTAAATAAGACTATAAATGAACTTAAAAGTGTTAATAAATAAAATGATACTTTTATTAATACAAATATATAAAAAATAAAAATAAAAATATATTAAAGAAAGAAAGGAATAGGAGAGAGGAGAGAAGAGAGAGAAAGTAGGGTAATATAATTTGAAAATGATTAGGTTTATGATTTAGTTTGGGCCCACATTCAGAGGAGATTGGGACCCCTATCCCTACACTTGTAGGGCCCTGTCCTCTAGCTTTTGCTTGTTGACATTTTTTCTTTTTTTCCCAAACAAATAAATTAAATATTTTTATATTTTCAACACTATTTACAGCCTTGAATTGAGTTTATCGAGATTCATCTTTGCTTTTCTATCATTTTTACTGTTTTACATTCACTCACTTTTTCTTTTTTTCTCAATTATTTTTTATCTTTAAAACTAAGCTGGTTGGCATCGAGTGTTGGACTTGTTTGACATTGGTCGGGAAGAAAATACAGAACTATTTTTACTTTTTTTTAGTAAAAGGTCGATAAAAAAATCAACTCACGAGGAAAAATAAATACTTACTCAATCTACCCAAATCTAATTAATAATAAGAATAATAAAAAAAAATAGAAAAACACCAACAAATACCGAAGCCTTTTCAATTCTAGAAACTAAATAAACCCGATGTCCCAAAACCCCAAATGAAAAATATAATGGTTAGATCTTATTTTAGGCTTGAATTTTCCATTTCGTTTCATTTTGGATCCCGAATTTTTAAAATGTTCGTCCTCTAAGTTTATTTTATTTAAAAATAATAATATATATTTTTCATTAATTTATTAAAATATTAATAAAAATTTGATATTAACATTAAAGAAAATAAATTTAAGATAGGAATTTGTATATTAAAATAATCGTTTTGAAAGATTATGAACTAAATTAGCGTTAAAATATATATATTTTTTTATATATATAAAAAGTTTTGCAACCAAAATAAAAAAAAAAATTGAAAGTTCACTCAATAAAATGAGATTTAAATTAAAATGTGATATACAATATAATAAATATAAAAAAAAAATCAATTTAAACCATAGAATTTATAAGTAATAAAATATTATCTCAAAAGAAAATCTCTTCTATTGTTAATAATTAACATTAAAATATTAATCAAAATGACAAAAGGGTTTGGTTTGGGATAGTAATTCTTGGAAAGTTAACAGTAAAAAGTAAAAAATAAAGTGTGAATGATGACGTGTGAAAGAAGGAAAAGCAGTCAAAAAGGAACGGGGCTCACTGTCAGAGACGTTGAAAATTCAAAATAAAAATATTAAAAAAAAAGGAGGCGCAAAAATCGAAGACGAAAAAGAAAATGATTTTGCCATCTATTGCTTTATGATTACTTTGCTTGCTCGCTGACCGTACGGGCAGTCCGGGCAGTAAGAACCAAGAAAACGTTTGCTATGACAGTGACTTTACCACCTGTTCTTCACCCTATAGTCCTCTCCTTGTCTGCCTCCCATTCAACCCCCTCTCCTCCATCTTTTTTTTTTTTTCCTTTTGATAAAAAAACAAATATTTCATATCTTTAGGACTATATTGCAATTTCCTATTTCTTTGGACTAGACATAACTTCCCCGATATTCTTGCATCTCTTCGTCCAAAGACATTATATTATTAACAAGAGAAGATATCTATTTGAACGTTATGCTGGTACCTTTTCCTTTCATATAGTATATATGATAAAAATAAAAGAGCTGAATTATGCTCATGTTGACAACGACACTATAATACTTAATGACCTTTTTTATGTGAGAATATAATGTCATAGTCGTAGAGATGGAATCACTTCTTGTAAACTCATTGAAGATCATTCTGGTCAAGTCCATAGCCTATTAGGCGCTCCTTCATTGACTTGAATCTACTTTCAGATACTCAATTCAAACGTATTGGCAATACTACATGACAGCAACGAATTTGTATCCATTTTTCATCATATTGTGTAGGATCAGATATACCAAGACGAACTCATCTTATTTTCTACTTGCTTCTATGATGATGGTCAAAACGATTCGATATCATAGGCCAAAAAGGTATAATAAAACACAGCAAGAAAAGTGAGAGTAGAAAAGGGGGGAAATGGTGGGAAAGAGATGCTAAAAAAGAGAGGTGCAGATGGCGAAGTTTGAGGAAGGATAAATGAAAGTGGGACAAGAAAAGAAGTGGTGGGTGGGTGGGTGGGTAAGAAATGGGAATTCAAAAACATGAGGGGCCAAAAAAGAAAAAGAAAAAAAAAAGATGTCAGATGTCAGAAACCTTCCTATGTAGAGGTGACAGAGACTCAGAGTTTTAAATTTACCTTTTATCCTAAGCCTGGAATTGAATCATTCATTCATAATTACTTACTTTTTCATGGGCATTGGCTGATGGGCCTCCTGATGTGACTTTTCCTTCCACGTGTTACCTGTTTACACCCACACACATTTTGACAGAGAGAATTCTGTCAATTCAAAGCTCAATTATTTGCAACCTTTTTCCCCTTTAATCAATAGTAATGGAGAAATTTAAGCTGCACCAGATTATATCTCATGAATCAATAGGAATTTAATAGATGCAGAATTGAAAGGGTCGGAGAATTAGACAGAAAATCAAAAGTTTAAAGATTGGATAAACATTTACGGATACTTTATCGAATAATGAGTGTATATATATCTACCTCCGACACACGGGTTGGAACGCAATACTGACACACCCATGATGCCCGGTATTGTCCTTCAAAAACTCATTTCAAAGGAAGTCGCTCGTCTCGACACGCTTGCCCTCACTATGACATATGCATGTGCCACATGTTGGCTTGCTTAGACCACAGGGCTCAAGAGGAGGCATGTATTAACTCTCCACCACCCATGGGCCCTCTAACCTAACCAAGCTACAAATATGGCTATAATATCTACAATGGAAAGCACCAGTTATGGCAAGAACATAATGGGTACAATTAATCGGACAATAAACAGAACCTTCTCAGCTCACATTCAATTTTGTCTTAATTGTACGGTTTTATGCCATATAATACTAATGATCATTTAAAACTACGTTGAAAGTTGGTTGAAGAAAGCACTTAACCAAGTGGTGTTTTATCTGGAAAAAAAAAACAATGCTTCACTCAAAAGATACTGAGATCTCAGATGTAATTGCAAGACTCACTTTTAATGGAAAAGGGAAACTACTTTTAGTTCTTTTAGGTAACCAAACACAGAGGGAAGGGGAGTGGTAATTCTAAAAGAAGGAAGATGAAAGCTACCCTTTTGTCACTTTCCTTTAGGCTTGTGGAGAAGGGTTCCCTCACTCTCAAATAATTCAGAACAAACTAAGTCTTTCAGTGGTGGTTGTTATAGCGTCATGCCAAAGTTTGCTGGGTTCATTTGTGGTTCATAGCTAGTAATCCAGAAATGCATAATCTTTCAAGTAAAGTGCCTTGATCCATTTGTTGTTACCATCTAGACAAAATTTGGTTGGTTTAGAGTAGGTAGGCTCCTCTTCAATTCTTATCACTAAATTCTCAACTTTAGCACAACTTGTGATAAAAATGAAACAAAAAGGCTGCCTCTCCACCCCAACAAACATTTTCTACAGATATTTTGCCATATTCCATAGCACTAGGAATATGACATGAAATTCTTCAATTTTCAAGGCTCTAACCAACTAGTTTGTTTGACATTGATAGTGAAAGGTCATAAATGAAACTATTTCATGTTTCATGTAGGCGTATATATGGAAAAAGAAAACTGAGAATTTCATACCTACAATAAACTTCCAACTACGCCCAAATGGATCCAAAAATTTGTGTTCAATCTGCACTTGCAGAATAGAAGTATGCAAGAAGAATACGAATACTTAAAGCATCTTACCATGCCCGAATTGTTCCAAGAATATACGTTCATTCTGTTTCTACAAAATAGAAATATGCAACAAGAATTCAACTTTTGAGTAAAATATTAAGATAAAAACGAGGAGTAAAAGAGGTGAGATAATAAAGGAAAGTAAATTGAAAAGTTATGACAGGTAGGCTTTTTCCAATTGACCTTTAAAGTTCAAATAATGCCTTTTCTTTATCAAACCCACTGAGCAGAACTCAAAGGGGTCTGATAACTCAAGGACGTTGACCTAGCAGAGCCAAATATATACATAACATGTTGTGAATAGTAATGGTTTCGTACAAGAGGAAAAAGAAAAATAAACCACTTGCAAGTTTTACCTGCAAAAAGTTAGCACAGTTTCCAATTCACTCGCAACAACGACAAATGGATTAAAAGGGTAAAAGAGTGGAGAATTCTCAAGCCCACCAGACTATATACTTGAACCAGTGAGTCAATCAGCCAAACAGTTAGATAAATGACATTTGACACCAATCAAAATCATCCTTAAAAATGAACCGAGATCTAAACCTACTTGTGCGAATTTCTTTAAGAAGTCCATGTCTCAATTTTCAGATCCCCAGTGAAAGTTGAACAAGATTTTACCATTTACATGGACTACTGAAGAATGGAAGAAAGCTAAGAAATATATGTTAATATAGTATAGCAAATTGTGGATAGATATGAAAGAAGTCAGAAAATTGTAATGCAAAAGGTAATATAAGAATGGGCGCAATTGTCTGAGTGTATTAAATAAGCAATTAACTGAGAAGTGTACATAAGAAATAGTGACCATCTCACAAAGCCTATGCCGTGATGCCACAAATCAGATCGACAAATTCTAAGGCAAAACAACAGTAAGACGCCATGTACATTAGTAACCCCCATGACGAAAAGCACCTAAATACAGACTCTTACCGACAGCCTCAACATTCTTTCTCCTCCTTAGGAACTTTGAAAGCACATGGAGACTTCGGAGGTAGCTGAAACAAGAAAAGACTACTTAACAAGTTGCATGTAACAGAAACAGCTACCATTGTCCATGCTAAGATCCATATAGAAACGTTACATGGTCAGGAAAGGAGAGTACAGTACACTAATATTCAAGGTTAAAAACGAAAAACATGTTTATATTTAACAACCAACATGTAGTGGCCCGATTGATAACAGTTATAATATTTTATTCTGTTTGCAAAGATCATACTTGGTATATTTCCAATCCTTTTAATCAAACAAATAGCCTTTCACCCGGAAAAGAAAATTGTAAATTATAATGTTGACAGCTGCACATGATCCATATCCAAATGCCAGTCTTTCGCATAGCAACAAAACGTCTCTACATCATACAAGAACCGAACAATAGTGATCACACATAAAACCCACCTTGCACTGGAGACTCGTTAGCATAGATCTCAGTAACGGATCCCCAACAATGGACCTCAACCGTCTTATGAATTCATCCCTACTGATCTTCTTTTCCTAATATATTAAGGAATATCAAGATCATCCACTAAACAAATAAAATAACAGGAAAGCACTTATAGACACATTCACTTACTCTAAATAAGCAATAATGACCCTTCACCGATTTCATGTCGTTAAGAGAGACTTCTTTTGAAATGGCATTAAACAACATTGAAAAAGGCATCCAGGGAGACTTCGGAGTCTTCAGGGAGCTAGATCCATGGTCATGCTTTTCTGTGCACCTCTTTTCAGGAACTGGCGAAGACACACAATCCTCCACCTAAAAGTAAATGGCTTCCCTTAATATTAAGATGAAAGGAAAAAGAAATCTAGCTTTAATAACTTGAGCGTCCCAAACTTTCTTTTCTATTAATGTTGTGGTCTAAGACGATTTCTTTGAACTCTTTCGCAAAACTCTCTTCTTTATGGGGGAAAAAACACTTCATATTGATCCAGAAGAAAATTATCATGTTTGCAAAAACAGCATAAACCTCTATTAGGCAATTTGCAGAAAAAGGGGTGAGCATCACAATAACAATGACGCTTTGCAAATAAAATTTTTCTTCCCAATTCCCATCCTTCCCCTTAAAAGTTATTTGATTCATCCCCGTCCATCCCTAAAGCTTTTGTTTCATAAACTAAAAGAACTTTTGCATTTCTTCTAAAACCTGATTGCATAAATGCTCCAAGTTTATGAACTGTCCCATCGAAAACCCAACAGCATCCAAAAGTCAGAAAAAGAGTATGCTCTCACAGACAGTATTAACCATAAGGGCATCCATGAAACACGATTGTTTCCTTGGTCTTCCTAAAAAGAACCCCAGTAATCTGGTTTGCCCAGGATGCCATGTAATGTGCCAATTGAATAGTTACAGAGAAATGTACGATAATCAAAGGAAAAAGTAATTTGGCAAGTGAAGCTTGCACCTGGGAGTTAGAATGTTGCGGTTAATGAATCTTTAAAGGCAGATCACCCAACTATTGAAGTAGGTAAATAGGAAAGAAAGCTGATTCCAGAAAGTCATCAACCCAAGAATTGTGAATGTAAACAATTATAAAGGTGGTCAGGTCAAGGAGGAAACGAAAACAAATTAGCTCAACTATACATGGGAATAAAGGCTTTGGCGGGCCGAGATGGAAGGCAACCTTAGGAAATCTATGCTGGCCCAAAATTAAGATCAACTCATATTGAATAAATAACAGCTTTCATAATCATAACTCATAGGTTCACAAGTCCACCTAACAAGAGTGGCAACGAAACCACAGGCAAGAATTCACTGGAAAAATCCCACAGAGAACATAATATTAAAGCCCATAAAAGATGGCTTACTGATTCAATCGAAGAGCAATTTAACTGCAACTGGTCCTGGAGCCCTTCAGAATCAATTCCAAGAAAACGGATTAGAATGCCAACTTAGATCTCCACAAGTCCCCCCCCCCCCCCCCCCCCCCCCCCCCCCCCCCCCCCCCCCCCCCCCCCCCCCCCCCCCCCCCCCCCCCCCCCCCCCCCCCCCCCCCCCCCCCCCCCCCCCCCCCCCCCCCCCCCCCCCCCCCCCCCCCCCCCCCCCCCCCCCCC